CTTGTCTTTGATCGGCTTCCTTCCCCCTTGGCTTGTAGTCTGTCATTTGTTGCCATTTCGACCTCTCACAGTCCAGTCTTACCTCAAATGCTTCCAGTATAATAATGCTGAACTATCAGTAGAGTGTATATGCAGGGTATTGTGTATACTGCTGTTCTCCTGCCTCGTTTTTTAAAACATTATTTTATAATTGCAATGCGTTTTGCCTGTTATAAAATATAAAATCATAGTGGATATAATGGTGTGTCAGAGTATATCCGCCACAGCTGTAAGCAACCCACTGCACCTGTTTACAATACAGCATGCCTCTGGCACCCCTGCAGCTTCTTCACCCTGTCATTGCATGACCATTAGGGAACAATCTCTCTGCTTTTTACAGGTCATTACCACCTTGCCAAGTTCATACAGCAGTAAGACACTATTGTAGTGGTGTCAATATTTCAAGCTACTACTAGAGGTAAACACATTACTAGTGGAGGGGTATGCATAATATTGTCCTCAGGAGACCATTGCCCCAGGTTATGAACGCTATAAAGAAATTACTGATCTATCACTGCATCATGACAAGCAGAATTACTAGTACAGCAAATGTTACCTGCTTACAATTCTGCAAAGTTGGACTAACTGGCATGCTGATACAGATTCATTTGCTAGGTTGATGTTTTAAAATAAAATACTTTGTGTTCTTGACTGGCTGCTAAAATGTTATTTTTATGTTTAGCAATTGCAGTTGCATACATTTCTATCAATAAATGCAGGCCACTAATGTGTTTAGTGAGTAAGCAAATCTCTTATTTTGCCAGACACACGGCAGCTTTCAGGCAACCTCAACCAGGTTTTAATCACAAAAAGAAACCAAACAGATTGAAAGCATCTTTCTACTTATATGTTATCTGCACTCTGAAAAATTGGACATGGCTAATGTTGGTTCGCAGGAGCACAGAAAACAGCTGGGAAAAAGTTAGTTCAAAATCCAGTGTTTTAAAAAGCACCTTTTAAAGCTTAACTGCAGGCAGACAGCTAAATAACCTATAAAAGATGCATTTTTGGTATTTTACATTTAGAAATGTGGTGCTGTTGCACGAAAATCTTTATACAAAAAATATTATTTAGGGCCCATTTTTCTTAAAAAGATGCAACCTTCTGTGCCCATGCTAACATGATGATTATATATGATAATACATATTTCCCATTGAAGTTCTAGAATATCTGGGATAGCTGGTGTAATTCTTCCCTCTCTATTACCTGAGATAGTAAGTTTGGCTGAACAAGACTGAGAAAGTTTACTGAGAAAGTAGATACGTTTGGCAACTTCAGCCAAATCCTTGCTGACTATTTCTTGTAATATTGGTTGCTCATACATCTCTGTGGTCCTTTATTAAACTCTTAAGTATCTTCCCGACTATGGAAGTTAAGCTTGCAGGTCTGTAGTTACACGGTAAAGAATTGAATCCCTTTTTAAATATGGGCACCGTATTGGGTTTGCGCCAGTTCATGTGTTTAAAGCCAGTCATTAAAGAATCTCTAAAACTTAGAAACAATGGTTTTGAAATAACAGAGCTCATCTCTGAGGACAGGTGGGTGTAAGCCATCTGGTCTAGGTGCTTTATTCAACTTTATTTTGTCTAATTATTTTTGGACCATATCAGTTTTGAGAAATTGTGGTTCATTTGAGGCTGTGACACTACCATTTCCTTTGTAGACTTTTAAATGCCCTTTTCACATTCTTTATGGCTTTTTGTCATTGAATGTGCGACGCATAGATTTTACTTTAGTCTTAAAAAGGTTTTACTTATAGTCTTAAAAACCTATTGCCTATGGGAATATTTCTTGCAGTGCGTTTATAAACATTTCTATTTCTGTTCTGTGTTCTTTAATAACAATATTGCCTCGAAGTCTAACAGGGTTTGTTCACAAAAGAGTGAAACGTTTGGAGCAGTGAACAATCTAGGACAACATAGCTGAATGGGAAAGTGAACTGAATTGGAGACTTTTTCCAAATCAGCTATTTTGGCCTAGATTCTAAACTCATCCTGCCTTCTCCAAACTCCTAACCCTTTAGTGAATAGCCCTGTACGTCTTGGAGAGCGCCATCAGGATTGAACAATTTGCTTTTGGAAAGTCAGATGTTTTTATCTTTTCAGTCTGAGCTTGTTGTACACAACCTAAAAAAAAAAAATCAAATTATTCTGTAATGTGTTCTGTAAACTGTACCACAACTGTTCCATCTATTGAAGCCCTTTTTGTCTGTGTAAGCAGCTGAGCCTCTACCTCCTCATTAGCACTCCTCATTAGCACTGGGGGGGGCTGAAACAAATTCAAACAATTCACTTTGCAGTATGCACATCAATATGCAATGCCACTCATAATGCCTCAGCATCATCACACTCTCCATCTATAAGTTCCTCTTTCACTTTTACTTTTAAAACATTTCTCACATAAAGAACGGCACCACCACCTTTTTTTTACCATGTCTCTCTGAAAGAGTGCAAAGCCAGAAATATTAACCTTCCAATCATGTGAAGAACAAAGCCAAGGCTCAGTAAGGGGTCCTGGGGCCGAAGCTGGCTGAAGGATCGGCCGAAGCTACGGCCAGATCCTTTGGCAGCTTCGTGAATAGACCCCATAGTGTTCTTTAACCAAATCTTCCAACTCTACTATTTTGCTTTTATGACTTCTGGCATTGGTGAACAAACATTTTAATCTATTGTTGCATTTTGTACATTTTAGGGCCTGTTCGCACGATGTCCGTTTTCTGTGCTGACCTGATCCGTACGCTCCTGCACTAAAAATGCATCCCAATGTATGCCTATGTGTTTTATGGGCTACTGTTCTCACGTGCGCAGTCCATTCAGGTTACGACAGAAAAAATACAGCATGTCACATTTTGTCCGCTCAGGAAAAGGATCGAAAACGCGTCAAAAACGTGCCAAAAACGCACTGCACTGCAGCTAACATACTGACAACCCTACTCCAGCAAAAAAAAAATGTTTTGTTTTTTTTAACTGGAACGCAGCAAAAACGCACTGCATCAGTAGCACCGCGTCTGCAGATCCGCACCTGATCCGGACCTGATCAGGACCTGATATGTGAACAGGCCCTCACTGTATTTATTGTAGTACAAATAGTACTATAATCACCAATGTTTGTATATAACATGGTAATCCCCTTGTCACCTGCCACAGTCCTTCCCCCATCTTCCTCCATTGCACCTTCCGTTAATGTCTGATCCCTGTCTGCCCCGTTATATTTTAACTCTCCCTCCCTCCTCAATCCTAGTTTGAACACTCTTCCAACCTTCCCATAAGCCTCTCCCGTAATGCAGCAACCCCCCTCCTATTTTGGAGAAAACTATTTTAGCATATAGGTTGTACCCCAATGAAAAGTCAGCACAGTGTTCTGGAAACCCAAATCCTTCCTTATGACACCAGGTCTTTAGGGTTACATTTAGCTCTGTAAGTTTTCACTGTCTTTCCTGTGTCGCACATGGCAGGGGCAATATTCCAAAGAATATTAAATTGGAGGTCCTTCCTTTCAACTTGCAGCATAGTTCTCTAAATTGTATTTAAGGATCATCTATCTTCCATATATTCATTCATTGGTCCCAACATGGACCAAGACAGCTTTGTAGAAATACACGTTAGCTGTATTTCCATTCACATAAACAACTCAAGCAAACCTTTACCCAAGATGGCAATTGTTTAAGGGGCTCTCCTAACCACACATCCATGCGTTGTACAAATGTATGTGTTTAGTGGTGTTAGGGTGAATTATATGTGTCGCTCAAACTTCCAGTTTAACAGCAGTCATACGGGTATTTACGTCTTCATAGACAGATATTAGATTAGTATGTTTGATTCATAAATGGGTTGTGAAATCAACTCTGTCCTCCATACGCCTGGCAAGCACCAGTCTTCCTGATGAGCTCTGGCCAAGTTCTGGATGCATAGTAAGTCTGCTTTCAGCAAAGAGCCTAGGTGTGAATACTAAACAGCAAAATACTCTTACATAACCCCCATTAAGAGCAGCGACACATGCTCCCCTCTACAAATCTGCACAATGAGCAGACCTTACCATGCTAGAATTCAGAACCTGAATGTTAAAGAAACCATTAGAGCCCCGTATAGCAAGTGATCACTCCTCTCAACATTTCTAGCAGTTTGCAGTGATGATTCAGAGCTTTAGTGATTTTCTCAGCTTGTCTTATTTTTTCCATGTTCCTTTATCTCTGCAATTCGATGCAATCATGCCAAATAGCTGTGGTAAAGTAACATATATATATATATATATGTGTGTGTGTGTGTGTGTGTGTCTTGCAAATATATTTAGACCCTTCTTTTATAATTTTCCCTTTTCGCTTGAATATTTTGTTCTTTGTGATATTTTATTTCTAATCACTATAGATCATAACTATGTTTTTTTAGTGGTTATGTTAGAAAGAAAATCTTAAGCCCCAAAAAATATGGAAATATGCAACTTCTCAATGGTGTGATATTTTTACATGTGCCTACCTCCACAGTATGGGTGCTATCATTAAGGGTGATGATTTGAATAAATAACATATTTCCTGGTGCATAGGTCTGTGCTGGAGCATACATATATTTCTGCAAAAGGTGACTCTCCTAAATATTATGGGGAATGAACATTTGTATTAACAGCATTTTACTAAAACATTGTACACACAGGTATGTCACTTAAAATGACTTTCAGAACTGTAAAATAGTAAGATTCTAAATAGCCAGTGTAGGAATTGTTTTTCAAAAAAGGGCACATAGATAGATGGATAGATAGATAGATAGATAGATAGATAGATAGATAGATAGATAGATAGATAGATAGATAGATAGATAGAATCTCTCCACTTGCTTATTAGAAAATATTGCTAACCCATTCAACACTTTTTTGGGGTTAGCACAGTACAGGCCCATGCTAAGTATTAACTTGACAGGTCTTGCCTTGCCCTTTAACCCATTTCCTGACTTTCAGTTTTTCTTTTTCAGCATCCTGCAAAGTGCTCCCCACAATCCATCCAACAGCCCTTCCGCCACCTCCATCTGCTTTACTGCCAGTGAGTTATCGCCTCTCCAATACCCGCTTAGCCTTCTTTTTAAGAGAAGATGGTCCTCTCCCAACATGGAATTCAAGCATGCCCCTCCTTCAACGGTCGGAGCCTTTTGTGGTGTTTCAGACAAAGGATTTGCCGATTCTGAATGTCACATTGGGACCTTTTGCTTCTGGACAGGTTTTGCCAAAGGAACTTCTTCAGCCTTCTAGCATCCTGGAGGTTCCTGACAGATTAACTGTAAACTGGAAAATGAGAGCTTATATAATTCGTACAAGAGTGCCTGCCACCCAACCAGTAGTACAGGTCCTCTTTTATGTAGCTGGCCGAGATTGGGATGATTTTGGTGTCACAGAACGTCTACCCTGTGTTCGGCTACATGTTTTCCGGGAAATGCGGGAACTCAAAAGTTCTTGTCGGTTACGGGGAAGTCTTGCTACTTGCCTTGCTCAGGCTGAACTCCCACAAAGCTGGTTTGGGTTACCAGCTGCACCCCTAGGAAGAAGGAAAGCCTCATCTGATGCAGGAGACCTTAATGGAGAGAGTCAACAAATAGAATTATTCTATACTTTACATGCACCCGACTCAAGTGGGAATTGCCAAAATGAAGTGGGATCACGGAGAGGAGGGGAAGCTCCAACTCAGCATCCCCTCCTCCGAATTGGTAGTGTAAGTCTGTATCAACCAGTTCAGGTACAGCAAATACAGGAACAGCATTTGGATACAAATATCTTCATAAGGCTACCAGATCGAGCTCTAAGGCCGGGAGAGATCCTTAGCATCTTGCTTTACGTGCAACCGAACTCCACTGTGGAGCATTTCACTCTCAGGTAATACTGCAGTCTACAGCAATGCAATATGTGGTGTTACAAATAATAGTGTGGTATTTGTATTCATAATTTGTGATATTCTAATGTATATATTGTGATTTACATAGAATGGTGAATGCATATACCAGTATTTACATACAAAGGTTTAATTTTTCAGAGTAACATATACAATCTACTTTTAGTGTTTATTGTACTAACACAAAAAAAAATTCAAAAGGGGTATGGCATTGGCCTACTGTAGTCTATATACTGATATTATACCACATGAATAACAGCGCACTTTATATTATCAAATAATGCACTGTGTACTGGCAGTTAGGAATATTCTGACATTTGCTAGAAGGTTTGCTTAGTCTGAAAGAATTTGTGAGCTGTTCTGTTACAATCAGTAGTTTTTTTCGAGCCCTGAAAACTTTGCTCATTTGGTAAGAACAGCTGCCATCTTGGTATGCAGCTTCTGGGTTTTCATCAAGTTAACAAAACGGCCTCCATCGCCTCCCAAAATGTAATGCAGATGAGAGGCCCCACCTTGCACTGTAGAGTGCAAGGTGATACTGGATCCTGAGTCAAGTTGGAGCCCCAATGAAGTTTGCTGGCAGTACTGACTGGCACAAAGTGGTTCTTCCTATCATTATAACAATGAGGTTAGTGTTATACATCTACATTTTTAAAAGTATTACTTTAAGCCCAAGTTCTACTTTCCTAGGCTGGCACTTTATAAGCCCCAATGTTTTTCAGTGTAGTGGCTTCTATAGAAATACATGGGACAGATGGTTGACGTTGTGCAATTGTGGTATCTGTCTTTGCACAAGATGTTATGTTCAACCCTTTTTCAAGAGCCTGTGGTGACAGCAGTTGTGACATGCACAGGAAAAAAATATGCTCATTACTAATGCCATGTATCCAACTTTGTTGGCTCTAACAAGCTTTAGCAATATTTGAATTTGAAAATCTCACATGTTTTTATCAATGATGGCAAAGCTGAGATTGGGAAATGCAAAAAGCAGTGCATGCACTTGAAATTAGTCTTTCGTATGGCCTTGCATCTTTTACTCAGCTTTGTATGGACAGCATTAGGAGTTACTGGACCAAAATTGTCTAATGTGCATGATTTGTGGGCTGAGCAATATGCTATGGCCCACTTTAACAGTAGTATGAATAGACTTTATACCATATATAGCTCAATGGCACAAACATGTAATTCCAAATGGTATAGTTCCCAGTTCCAAGCTTGTTTACAATCCCATGAGTCAAGCAACCTGAAGCCTTTTGCAGTCAGCCACTCCATGCTACTTATTGACATCCATTGTGACTGTTACACAATTGCTGCCGTTATTCTGTAATTTCATGCATATGATCATTCCCCTAGTCATGTCATGATTATAGTACCAAAATGTCATCAAAATGTCATAGTGGTGTCATCTTACTAGCCAGTGAAGCACACCTTTGTGTGGTCTTATATTTACGAGAGGACAGCAAGATGTTTCTGCAAAATCCACAGGTGGTGCTTTTGTGTGGTCTAGAGTGTTTTAAATCTTTCCTTAAAGTGTATGTCTAAGCAAAACTTTTTTTTTTTTTTATTGCATAGTAAAGGTGACAGTTAGAACCCATGTCAGGTTATACTGCAAGCTAAGGCTCTGTTAGGAAAACATTGACCTCACTTACTGTCTAACTCAATGTTTCTCAACCTTTTTTAGTCACAGCACCCTTTAAAAGTATGAAAACTCTTGAGGTACCCCATTCTAAAATGTAAAAAATGACATGTGCTCATAAATCCATAAGACCTTTATCCCAGATATGGGGGGGGGGGGGATCCCACACAAAAACACAAAATAAAAGCCCCCTTCTCATCAGAGCTCTATCCTTTCACATCGTAATCCCTCATTTTGCATCAGGAGCCCCCTTTCACACATGAAGCCCCCTTTCACAATGAGAAACCTCCCTTCACATCAGAGCCCCCTTCTTCACTTCTTCACATCAGAGTTTCCCTCTTTTATATCAGAGTACCCCCTCCACATTACATGTCCCTCCTTCACATCAGGAACCCTCTTCACATCAGAAGCTTCTCCTAATGCCAAGGAACCCTCCCTCACATCAGAAGGCTCACTTTTACATCATAGTAACCAATTTACCTATGAACCCCTGTTTTTTCATAGATCTGCATATGCAAAGATTTTCACATCTGCAAAGCCAGGTAGGAGGCATAGCAGGCATGTAGACTTCTGTCTTTTTTTAAATGTATCCTACCCTCCCTGAATTAGAGTCATTCATTCACATGGTGCTGGTGGCCGGCCTGCCTGCACCAAGGAAAGTCATGACACTGTGTGAAAATTTAGAGGCACCCCAGGGTGGTCCAAGTGTTTTCACCATACAACTAGAAAAAAGTGTCTTACTTTTTGGTACTCGCCAATACAGAATACCAATACCCGAAGTCCTATTAAGGAAGCCAGGCAGTGTGTAATGACTCACCACCCGGCTTCCCGATTATCAGGGAAGCCGTCTCCATGCTTCCTCATCACCAGGTGACAAGGAAGCATGGAGCTGGCTTTCTGGCCAAGCAGGAAGCCGGGGGGTGGGTAATGACTCTCCGCATGGCTTCCTGATTGGCCAGGTTCTCAACCAATCAGGAAGCTAGACGTCGAGTCATTACACGCTGCTCAGCTTCCTGATTGGTCAGGAAGCCGGCTCCATGCTCCCTCGTCAACAAGTGACGAGGGAGCATGGAGCCGGCTTCCCAGCCAATCAGGAAGCCAGGCAGCGTGTATTGACTCACTGCCCGACTTCCTGATACCGGAAGCTTGGGTATCGGACTAGGCATTGGAGCATTTGGGCGAGGACGAGTACTCACCCAAATACTCGGTATCGGCATCCCTACCTTACAGTATACCTTGTGGTCGCATGAAAACCCCTTGTTGTCATTGATTTTGCATTTCTTAGTGAATGATGCAGGAAACATGGGAAATATGAACCATACTTTTCTTCATTAGGAACAGTAATGGAGGAGGATTTCTTATTGGTTGCTAGGGATCAATGCTATGAAACAGAATAATCAGATCTATACAAACTTAGGTAATTTGCATTAATATCTTTCAATGTTCCTTATTTGTTGTAAGGTTATTTTGGCTCATATTGAAAGCCTAAAGGTAATTAGCACAAATGAGGTAGAAAAGAAGTATTACTGTCAAAAAGCAAAATGCTGAATTCTCAACCAAAGGCACAGAGTGCACAACAAAAAGCTCAATACACTCAGTACTCAAACAGCAATGCACTGAAAGATCTTCACAAACACAGCTCTGAATGTGCAACAAAGCACAGCATTGAGTGCTCAGAAAAGCACAACAAACAAGCAACAAATAACATAGCACTGGCTACCCAGCACAAAGCACAACAAATGTATGTGCTCTTTTTTAAGATAGCTAAAAAGAAACTGATTGATTTACTAAAATTGATATAGTGAGTGATATTGTTAAAGGGCCACATTTACGGTAAGGGTAAAAGGGGCAGTTGCCCTGGGCAGGCCTGTTCAGGGGACCCACTAGAAGACTGAAGAATGAACTGGAGGGTGCCTTGCTACCTTAGCACTGCAGCCTGTTTCCCAAGTCAGTAAATCTGCAGGAGTAAAAAGTATTATCAGATCTAACATCAGAGGACCTAAACACAAAGAGAGGATCTTCCTTCACTCCTAGGCTTGTTCCCAATCCTAGAAATCTGGGGCAGTGGTTACAAAGCAAGACATACAAAGTCACAAGTCTCAATAATCTAATATGTCTTTCCTTTGTTAATATAGGGTAATATGGGTTAGAGTTTTCTTTTGTTACTAGGGAATTCTGTGTCAAGGAACAATTTCTGCATCAACATGAAGCTGAAAAAAATACTTTTTTCTCTCTCCCCACAGCTCAGTGGAAACCTCTCACACCCTTGGCAGCTGCTCAACCCACATACATTCCTCCCAAAAGCGCACACTCTATCACTGTCTACTGTCCTTATCTCCTGCAACTTCACTTCCTTCTCCCACTCACATACCTAATTCCCCTGGCCACCTCACCATTGACATTACCTCCCCTCCCCACCACCTCCAGCATATAGTACCCAATATCATACACATTGCATTCTACTTCTGCACACACTACTCACAGTCATACTCTTCACATTCCTCTACGGCACATGCTGCCTGCCACAAAGCCATTTTCACTCCTCAGTAGGACATATTTTCAACCATTATACTCTCCACACCCTTCTCCTACACATACCAACCCATATCTTCTACCTAACACCGATGTCTTCTCCTACAATACTGCCCCATGTCAAATCTTCTACACCAGTATCCAAAACACATTACCTGTCACCTCTCTGCATTCCTCTCCTGCAAATAGGGCTCTCTACCATATTCTTCACGCTTTTCCTCTGCACAGACTGCCCCATGCGATATGCTATGTATTCCTCTCCAATACATACAGCCCACTGTCATACCATCCACACTCTTCTTTTGCACATAATGGCCTAAATCATATCCTTTGCACTACTCACCATTATTACTAATATCCCCACCCTTGCCCGTTCTGGAACAGGCACACTTTCGTTAGTATATAGAAATGTAGGATTGAAGATGGGGAGTTGACTAACCCAATGCAACTAATGAAAGCATACTTTTCATCATTTAGAAGGACAAAAGATGCAGCAGCATTTTAAGGCGATCTTCATTTAAATGCACTTTAAGCCTTATTTAAAAAGTGCAAATGGCAAACAGAGATATTTAGAGCGCGGTAACCCACAGTAACCAACCAAATTTCTTAGTGATTTCTGGTTCCTATGGGTTAATACCGTTTGCATATCATCACTGCTCTGTGTTGCCTCATGTTGCTTAACTAACAATACGAATGAAAAGGAACCGTCCATCCTGTTGTAAAATCCATTAGGATTTGACCTTTTCGCAGTTGTACTATGAAGCAAAAATAATTTGAACTGACCAACTTTGTGATGGATTGATAGTTTATATATAG